TATGGCTAATCGCTCACTCACACACACACACACACTCGCCGTGGGTCGCGCTGGTGTGTGTGAGTGTCTGGGAACAATGTTGTTGTTTCATATGTGTGTGTGTTTCTACAAGGTCTTATAATCTCATCAGTGCCGGCGGCCAATCAGGACGGAGCTTTGTGTTATTCTGGGGTTATGAATTCCTGATCGGAATATATTTCTGTGAGTCTGTGTGTGTGTGAGAGAGAGAGTGTGTGTGTGTGTGTGGATTTCTCAGTTGTGTTACAGCAGTTTAGCGGTTTACACATTGTTTGGAACTCTGGGAAACGGAATGTAACAGCTCTGTCTGTATCCATGGCAACAGAACCTTGTTTGATTCCGCTGATTACATTTGAATTTGATTCCTGAGCTAATTTGGCGGGAAAATCTATAGACTTTGATTGACACCTGTAAAGCGTTCAGCACACAGTCTCCCGTCCTGTTTCTGAGATTTAGACGTTGTTGGCAGTTAAAGCGCTTGTGCTGTAGTTACACACACACACACACACACACACACACATCTTCAGCTCATTGACATGTAAAGCGCAGTAAGTGTCCTGTGAGAGTCTCTAAAACACCTTATATTGTGTGATCTCGGGCTTTCACGGTTCATGTGTCTGTCCAGGCTTTTGTCTCTTTGTGCTGCTGATTCCGGTAAAGGAGGAGAGATAGTAGCACATGCGAGTGTCTCTTTACCGCAGGAATGCGAGGGTGTGTAATGAAGCTCATTCCTCTGAGCCGGTGAAGGCGAACAAAGCTTCCCTGCGGACACCGATCCGGGAGAACTGATCCCGACTCTGGCTGGGAATGAGGGATTCAGCCTGGGGGGTCCGTTTGCTTTCAGAACTCCCTGGAGAACTCCAGCTCCGTGTTTTTCTGGAGCTCCAGGGATGAGTTCAGGAACACTGGATCCGTTTCACTCTTGCATTCCTCACTTTACAGAAGCTGTGTGTGTGTGTGTGTGTGTCAGGCTGTGTGAGGGTGTTTTACTGGATTCATTTTATTATTACAAAACTTTTACTATTTTATATGTGTGTTTTTTTTTTCTTTATTTTTTAAATTCTTTTTGATCATCTTTTGGTTGGGTGTTTTTATCTTATTATTTTTATATAATTTTTATATATAATTTGCGCATTATACATTGTTTTATTTTGTATTTTACACAGTAGCATTAGCATTTTAAAAAAAAATCTTTATTTTGTTCATTTTATTCTTTTTTACCAACTTTGGTGTGAAATTTTCTTATTTTTACTATTATTTTTTTAATATAATTTTAATAAAATATTTTTTTATTTTTAATATTTTGTATTTTATATATATTTTTTGCTTAATCTGTTTGATTTTATCTTAATATTTTTATATATTTTTTATTTGATTTTAATTTGATTATATTATGATTCTTTCTTCAGAGTCTGCTTTTTACTTCTTTTGATGTTTATAGATTTTTGGAGTTTATGGAGTTTATTTTTGACTTTTCATTTAATTTGTTTAATAAATAATTATTTCATTCTTTTCATTTAAATTATTTATTTATTTATTTATTATATAGATTTATTAGTGTGATATTTTCTCTATAGTCCTGAGCTGTGTGTGTGTGTGTGTGACGTCAGATCCAGTTGATCTGATAAAGCGTATCTGAGAGTCCCAGTGTTCGGGACCTGATGTTCTCGCCGGTTCTGTCGGCTTGTCCTCGAGACACCGGATCCGCTGAGAGCCTGTTCTCCGCACATTAGAGCCCGAGATCCCAGCGTCTGGAATGGCAGGAATGTGTCGGATCTCATCCCGGTGGAGTCGAGGGCCGGCGCTGGTCCATGCGGGACCGATCGAGTGTGTCGGGACAGAGTAAACGACAGAGTGCCGCTCGTCACACACAATTAATGTACTACATATGGCACTAATTTATATTTACGCTGTATTTATAATCCATTTATTCACTTTTTGAGACCTGAAAATTACATTTCCATCTTAATCTGTGGTCAATCTCAAATTTTTTGACCCAATCCCTCGTTTATTTCTGACCCGGCTCAAAACAAATCAATTAAGAAATAAGTTAGTGATGTTTTACATTCAATCACAGTAATAATGTTGGCAAATAATCAGACAGTTTACTGATTAATATTATATTTTTAATTATTGCAGCTATAATTCTGCGGAGCGATGAGAATTATTCAACATTAATTAGTGCAATTAGTAAACATTAACTAAGATTAAAACATGCTTTAGAAGTATTTTCCACTGTTAGTTCACGTTAATTTCCACATTTAAAGCGTGTCGTGTTGACATGTGAAGACAAACACAGTGTGACCTGTGACCTCTGACCCTTTTGTTTTCTTTACAAATTCTCTCAAATGTGAGGGGATGTTGCCATGGCGATGATGTGTGTTTGGGAAAATAACAAAGGATCATTAGAACAGGGATTTGTTTAAAGCAGCCTTTTGTATACATTCATATTTATTTATTTATGATTATTATTATTATTATTCTTACATCTGTATACAGAGAGAGGATTCAGAGAGGGAGAAATACAGCTCATCCTGGAATCTGTTAACATCTGTCTTTTTTTCTCTCTCGTGTTGAAAATCATCAATAAAAGGAGTTACACGCATTTATGTTGGACCAAAACACACTTATAGTGACGCAACAAAACCAAAAAATCTTGTTATTGTACATTTGCGCTGTGTTTGATGTGTGTGTTCATCATTTAATGAGGTTAAAGCGGGGTTATGGTTGCCGTGGCGACATACCTGGATGACCTCATGCTTGGCGACAGCGATGAGGGGAAGCGAACTGGTGACCTCATCGCTAGATATCGCCGTGGAAACACTGATTCATCCTTTAGAAAAACAGACCCTTGAGAGCTGCTTAAACAGCCTGTAAACCACACACACACTGTCCGCTGACGGGTGTCACTTCCTCTCCATCTTTTCTCCTCATAAAAGGTTTTACATGTTTCCTTCAGCATGACATCATCACCCCTGGCCCCTTCTGATGATGTCATCGACGGGTTCTGGCACTGTCCGAAATAACGGTGTCGTTACGGTCCGACTGACTCGGATTTACAGCTGCAGTTTTTACTTTTATGAGGAAAGATTATTACACCACTATGATGGTTTATGTTGAAGAAATCCTTTTTTTTTTACTATTAGATAAGGGAAGCAACTCAGATTCTTATTTCACGTTCATTTCAGTTTAAGAGTAATGTTTTACAACATTGTTTCTCCCTAAAAATGTAACTAATAGTGTAAATTAGTTACTTTTTATGTAAAGTAATTAGACGTGTTACTTTTCCTCACATTTCACTCAACATGAGGACCGGAGAGCTGTCAGTCAAAACTTATTTGAAAAATCTAACACACACACACACACACACACACACACACACACAGACTGCCCTCACAGCTAAACTGCTATTATCTAATTGTGTAGTTAAATTTAACAGATATTCAACATAATTCATGTGTCAGAGTCCAACAGAAGGACAAAACCAGACCATTTTATAGCACAAAAAAAAAGATAATATGAGAAATGTTGAAAAATATCTGAATAAATTAGGGTTTGACTGTAAATCTCATTTTGTTGTTGTTCATATTCTTAACCGAATTGTGTTGATGACACGTGTCTTTGGAGAATTGATGCATTTTATAAGAAAAATATGATCTCGTTTGCCCACCTGGAACAATTGTGTTACTTTAAATGGCGTTTTCCCGCTCAAATCCTGGTTAATTCTGACCCTGGATATTGGACGGGATCGGGAGCGTGTTGTTATTCAGAGACCCCCTCTCTCCCCCTCTCTCTCTGCGTTTATCCTCAGTGTTTCAGGGGCGTAGGTGACTATAAACACATTTAATTATTGCATCATGATGTTTTACCATTAAGTGTCAGATTGCCGAAGGCTCTTGGCTCACACTTACGGTCTGATTGGCTTAAAAAAAAAACTTGAATATGGTTCAGTGGTGATGTCATATGGCGTTGATATACAGTATATATATATATATATAGGGGAAAGAGTGTCCTGTGCAGTTGCCAGGGTGTTGCTATATGGTTGCTAAGGTGTTTTGAGCGGTATATACTTTGTTGCTATACAGTGGCTAGTCTGTTCTGCATAGTTTCTACTATAAGTGTTCTGGGCAGTTGCCAGGATGTTACTTATGTGGTTGCTAAGGTATTCTGAACACCTTAACTTTCTTGCTATACAGTTGTTACTGTATACAGTGGCTAGTGTGTTCTGGGTAGTTTCTAAGGGGTTGCTATATAGTTGAAAGAGTATTCTAGGCAGTTGCCAGGGTGTTGCTATATGGTTGCTACTGAGTTGTAAATCCTTTTTTACACAGTTGCTAGGATGTTCCAGATGGTTTCTAGTTTGTTGCTAAGTGTTCTGAGTTGTATATACTTTTCTTGCTATACAGTTGATAGGCTGTTCTTGGGTGTTGCTATATGGGTGTTAAAGGGATACTCCACTTGTTTTGGAAATAGGCTCATTTTACAACTCCCACACGGTTAAACAGTCGAGTTTTACCGTTTTCGAATCCATTCAGCCGATTTTCTGATATTTAGAAGAATATCAGTAACCAGACAGTTTCTGGTCTCATTGACATCCATAGTATATATTTTTTTCCTACTATGGAAGTCAATGAGACCAGAAACTGTCTGGTTACTGATATTCTTCTAAATATCAGAAAATCGGCTGAATGGATTCGAAAACGGTAAAACTCGACTGTTTAACCCTGGGGGAGTTGTAAAATGAGCCTATTTCCAAAAAAAAAGTGAAGTATCCCTTTAAGGTTTTCTGAATGGGAAATACTTTGTTGCTATACAGTTGCTAGGATGTGCTATTCGGTTGCTAGGGAGTTTCGGTGCAGTTACTTTGAAATTTCGAGTGGTTGCTATGCAGTTGCTGGGCTATTCTGAGATGGGGCTCAATGTTTGTTAGTGTTTTTGAAAGTGTCAGCTCAATGATAATTATAAATGTCTTTCTGTTTCAGACGGTGGCCATGAAAGATGCGTTGACGAAGCTCGGCCTGAATATCGTTGAGATGACCGATGAATCGGCCACACTGGACGGAGGAGATGTCCTGTTCACAGGTAATTTTTTTTTAATTTAACATAAATTCATGTGTGTGCTGATAAACAACCAATCCCAGATGATCGCTGAGCAAATGTACATTCCCAGCAAGCAATTTTGCATTTAAAGGGATAGTTCACCCAAAACTGTAAACTCTGTCAGTAATGACTCGCCCTCATATTGTAAGACTTTCATTCATCTTCGTAACATAAATTAAGATATTTGTGATTAAATCTGAGAGCTGGATCACTCCTCCATTGGCTTTGATTGTAATTGAAACTGGCCGGTACAGAAAGTTATTAAAGACATCGTTAAAAAAGTCCGAGTGACGACAGCGGCTCAACGCTAAGTTTATCAAGCGAGATTTAATCACAAATATCTAATTTGTGTTCTGAAGATGAATGAAAGTCTTATGGGGTTGAACAACATGAGGGCTAGTCCGAGATTTCATTTTTGGCTGAACTATCCCTTTAAAAGACGTCTAATAACTGTGCAAACAGCCCAGATCTAGGCTAAAACAAGGCAAAATTTGGGCTGTCAGTGAAAATTGAATAAAATAATTGACTTGATCAATTAGATAAAGAAATGAAATGAGTGGAAAAAATGTAAGCAAACACCTTGTAATCACTGTTGACTGGAATATCCCACATCTCCAGTTATATTGGCAAAACAACATGTAACCGCATTCAGTGTTATTCTGGCTAGAAGTGTGTTTCTCCCAGCCGGGCGATATGGGGTCTGTAGTTCACCGAGACGCTGAAGTGATGGATGTTGCTCCGCTTTATCTGTCGGTGAATGGAAAACTGCAGTCGCACACCTAATTGAGTCTGGATTTGTTCCCGGACCGAAACATTTCCTTCTGGCGTCATGAGGCTCAAAAATGTCCTGTGCAAAACGTCCAGTTGCTTCTGTTCTGGAGTCGAGTGTCACGTTACTCGGGTCACGGATCACGATAAATAATTATGAATCTGTTTGTTTATTTTGTATGAATCACATCCACAGAGTAAAGTGACGCTCATTAAATAATTATGTATAACGAGTAGGTATTATAAGCATAAAATAATGTTGTTTCTGTTTGAATTCTGTTTTAATCAACTCACTTAATTTTGATTAATTTCGTTCAGAAAACAGGACATGTTATGTGATTTTACTCATCTAGTAAATGCATCTCGATTTAAGAATTTCTACATATTTGGACTGGAAACGAGTAATAAAGCCCTTGTGCGGATCAGTTCAGCGGCGCTGGTGTAGAGTCACTCTCTCTGGACCCGTTTCTGGTTTCTAGTGTTAGTGTTGATATCTGGAGCAGATCTTCTGGAGTAAACGTGTGTGTTCTGCTGTTCAGGGAAAGAGTTCTTCGTGGGATTATCCAAGAGGACCAATCAGAGAGGAGCGGAGATCCTGGCCGACGCATTCAAGGTAAATCCATCCATCCATCCACTCATCCATCCATCTATCTATCCATCCACCCATCCACTCATCCATCCATCCACTCATCCATCCATCCACTCATCCACTCATCCATACATCTTTCTATCCATCCATCCATCCATTCATCCATTTATCCATCCACCCATCCACCCATCCATCCATCCATCCATCCACTCATCAGTCCATCCATCCACCCATCCATCCATCCACTTATCCATCCATCCATCCACCCATCCATCCATCCATCCACTCATCAGTCCATCCATCCACCCATCCACCCCTCCATCCATCCACCCATCCATCCACTCATCAGTCCATCCATCCACCCATCCATCCATCCCTCCACCCATCCACCCCACCATCCATCCATCCACCCATCAATCCACTCATCAGTCCATCCATCCACCCCACCATCCATCCATCCATCCATCCACCCATCCATCCACTCATCAGTCCATCCACCCATCCATCCACCCACCCATCCACCCATCCATCCATCCATCCACTCATCAGTCCATCCATCCATCCATCCACTCATCAGTCCATCCATCCACCCATCCATCCATCCACTCATCAGTCCATCCATCCACCCATCCATCCATCCCTCCACCCATCCACCCATCCACCCCACCATCCATCCATCCATCCATCCACCCCTCCATCCATCCACCCATCCATCCACCCCATCCATCCACTCATCAGTCCATCCATCCACCCATCCATCCATCCCTCCACCCATCCACCCATCCACCCCACCATCCATCCATCCATCCATCCACCCCTCCATCCATCCACCCATCCATCCACCCATCCATCCATCCACTCATCAGTCCATCCATCCACCCATCCATCCATCTCCACCCATCCACCCATCCACCCACCATCCATCCATCCATCCATCCACCCCTCCATCCATCCACCCATCCATCCACCCATCCATCCACTCATCAGTCCATCCATCCACCCATCCATTTATCCATCCATCCACT